CAGTGTCCCCTGTGGTCACCGTGTCCCCGTTGCGCAGCCAGAGGACAGTCACCTCCGGGGGGTAGAAGCCCCAGATGTGGCAAGTGAGGCGGACAGAGCCGGGGGCGTTGGAGAGGGGGACGGGGACGATGCGGACCTGGGGTGGCACTGGGGGAGAGAGGGGACAGTGCTGGGGACGGTCCCCTCCCCACCCTGCCTGGGGTCCTGGGCGGTGGTGGGTGTGGCACCCTGTGCAGTGTCCCCATGCAGTGTCCCCGTTCAATGTCCCCGTGCAATGTCCCCACACAATGTCCCCGTGCAGTGTCCCCTTGCAGTGTCCCCGTGCAATGATCCCAGGCAGTGTCCCCATTCAATGTCCCCATGCAGTGTCCCCGTGCAATGTCCCCATTCAATGTCCCCAGGCAGTGTCCCCATGCAGTGTCCCCGTGCAACATCCCCACACAACATCCCTGTACAACGTCCCCACATATTCCCCATCCAACACCCCCCATAACATCCCCATGCAACGTCCCCATGCAACATCCCCGTGCAACGTCCCCGTGCAACACCCCGTGCAACGTCCCCACGCAATGCCCTGTGCAACATCCCCGTGCAACACCCCACGTAACATCCCTGTGCAAAGTCCCCAAGCATTCCTCATCCAACGCCCTGTGCAACACCCCATGCAACGTCCCCATGCAACATCCCCGTGCAACACCCTGTGCAATGTCCCCATGCAACGTCCCCATGCAACATCCCCGTGCAACACCCCGTGCAATGTCCCCGTGCAATGTCCCCATGCAACATCCCTGTGCAACACCCCGTGCAACACCCTGTGCAACGTCCCCGTGCAATGTCCCCATGCAGCGTCCCCACATAACATCCCCGTGCAACATCTCCATGCAATATCCCCATGCAACGTCCCTGTGCAACACCCCGTGCAACATCCCCGTGCAACGTCCCCATTCAATACCCTGTGCAACATCCCTATGCAATACCCTGTGCAACGTCCCCGTGCAACACCCCACGCAACGTCCCCACGCAACGCCCTGTGCAACATCCCCACGTAACATCCCTGTGCAACACCCTGTGCAACGTCCCCGTGCAACGTCCCCATGCAACATCCCCACGTAACATCCCCGTGCAACACCCCGTGCAACACCCTGTGCAACGTCCCCGTGCAACGTCCCATGCAACGTCCCCGTGCAACGTTCCCATGCAATGTCCCCGTGCAACACCCCGTGCAACACCCCGTGCACCACGCCGCAGGTCTCACTCCTCCGCAGCGCCGTGGCCGTCCAGAACTCGGTGGCCAGCTCTTGGCAAGCCCGGCGCCGGCTTTCGGCGCGCTCCAACCAGGTGGTGCCGTTGGAGTTGAGGAACCAAGCCACCAGGATGGCAACACTGTGCAGCAGCCCCCCGTCGCAGGCGTAGAAGAGCCGGGCATCGGGGTGGTAGCAGACCAGCGCGTTCTTGTTGAAGACGACGGTGAAGTCGAAGGCT